AATACAAGTTCCACACAGATTTCAATAACAATACAGTACTGTGAATATTCTCAGACTAGCATGGATTCTGCTTATGGCAATCAAAATAAGGAGGATAGGATGCATTTTCTATTGGAATGCATCAACAAATGAACAACACATTAAAAATATGTTTTTAAAGACATTTTACTTTTCTTAGAGCCATAACTATTTGAAAATATATTATTTTAGTATTTTAATTTCAGCCTTTATAAATTGTACTTCATTTATATTTAATTATAATGGTATGTGAAGCAGAATCACGTACTTTCCCTAGGCTTGACCTTTGTAGTGATTTTTGCTTTTGCCAACTAACACTTTCCCAAGGAATACTTGGGCACATTTTGGGAGGTAACACAATGAGCAGCTTGCAAGTGATTATCCTGGCTTGAAGAGTAAGACAATTTAATATCGTGGAGTGTACCATTCTTGGCCACCTGGTTCCCACTGCCAGGAAACAGTCCCAGGCATTTAGTTTACTAGTACAGGCATAGCCTCTTAAGTAGGAGAGAAGACTCATTAATTTAACTGGATTGGAGCCAGAGTGCTCAGTCATTTGTATAATCAAATTCTAAAGAGAGGTAATAATATCTTAATTTATATTTTAGTATTACTGATTGCTCATTAATATGTAATCAATCAATCCTTTACATTTCTGAGTCAACTTTTACATGAATTTATTGCTCGCTAAGGAGTGCTGCAGGCAGGATTCCATATAAAAGTCCTGACATTGACAGTTGTGGATTCACAAAGTGGGTATCTGGTTCAAAACTGTCTTTCAGTTCCACCTGAACTCAATAGGATTTTGACAAAAATCCATCCTAAACTGAATGGACAAAAAGATGGCAGATGGGCTTCAGTGTAAATAAATATAATGCCTGGGGATATTAGGGATGCATAATTTAATCCCTACTTGCAGGATGCCAAAAACCAAAACTGTCACTTCAAACTCAAAAACTGCTCTGAGGTCATTAGCAGCAGCCCCAAAGCCAACAAAACACTGCCCATCATCAGCAAAGATACCAAGGAGAAAACAGGAAGCTCCCTTTTTTTTTTTTTTCCCCCTCTGATTTTGCTCTGTATAAGAGCAGTAATGAGTGTGGTTCTGGCCTCTGTCTTTCAAGAAGGGCGTGAGGAGTTAAGAGCGAGGCACCAGAAACCTGAAGAAGGTGGAGGAGCTGCTTCATAAGGAGACACTGCCCGAGCTGAGACTCTTGCATATGTAGAGAGTAGGCTGAGGAGGATGTGGTCGAGGTTACAGGATGGTGAGATCCCATCACACCTGTACTAGGAGGCACTCACCAAAGCTGCTGAGGGACTGATTCAGCACCTCCATCTGCAACAGATTGCTGAGAGTGGCTGGGGGTGTGTGATCTCCCTGCATGGCACCTTCCGCTGCTGCTGTGGGAATCGGTGTCCGGCTAGAGGGACCTCTGGTCTGACAAACTTGGTATGATGTTGATAACGTAATTATGGCAAGATATGTGTTTTGTAAGGGCAGATGTTTGTCTTTGTGTGCATCTGTCTGAATATAAACTCCCCCATTCAGGAATGGACTCTGCTGTTTCTAAAGTAATTTGAACGTCTCTGCTTCCTTCCTAGATTGGATTTTTTCTTACTGTCTTGAGTTTCCTTTGCAAATTTTCTAGCCTTTCTGTTTTCTAGTCAGTATGGATTGGTAATAGTTTCCTCTTTTTTCCCCCTGTTGTGCAAAGCTTTTAAAATTTTACTCTGTCATTAAGATACCTGTCTAATATGAGTGCAAAGGGAGCTTTGATAAATAGCTTACACTAAAACCCTAACTTTCAGGTGGCTAATGCTGGGTGAAATAAATTTTTCCCAACAACACAAAATGCCAACTGGGATTAGCCACTGGTTGTTCGTATGAGATGTAACTGTTGTAGCCACTGTTCCCTAGCCAATCACCAACCTTCAGTGGTGTGGACAATTCAGATTCAGTGCAAAGCAGTACCGTAGTCTGTTGGTGTATTCAGAATCTTCTGATTTCCAGTTGCCAATAGTTTTTAAAGGTTAAGTGTCCTGGATGTAGTTTATTACCATACTATGACATCATATTCTTCACAAATACTGGTCTCATTCAAGTCAGGCTAAATATTTACATCAGAAATAGACTGCTGCAAGACTAAGGAGGTACGCTGCATGAAAGACACTGTGAGCTTGGTCTGTATTTTACATTCTTTTTCTAAGTATCTTCTGCAGTTTGCGGTCAAAGATGGCACTAGAGTCAAGAGGCCCTTGATTTGGTTTGGTATGCGTCTGCTTTTGTTCTTATGTAGGTGTCCGTGACCTCCACTGTGTCAGATCATGAAGAATTTCAGTCTGATTTGTCTCCAAATCCGTAAGTTTGGGAAGTAAACTACTGCTCTCTTCCCTTTGACATGATTCAATTTGGCTGTGACATGGTGAATTTGTGTTTCTGCTGGATTTGTCTCTTTGACACCTTTTTCTTTTTTGAGTAGTTTTATACCTTCTTGTCTGTTCCAATTAATCCTGTCGGAAGAGTTTGGCCATGCTGTGTGAAGACCCCCATTTATAATGTTGCACAGAGCTTCATTTTGTTACTGGTTGTGCGGCCCACTGTTCATCTCTGGTATTTTATTTCTTACCTTGTTTGTGGGCCTGAAAAGGCTGTCAAGAAGATCGTTCAGTGTTTCCCTTTCTTCAGTTCCTTCCAAAGTCCCTTATATGTTCTATAATTAGTTCCAGTGTATACCACCTTCATCTGAGTGATGATAGATGACTTGCTTCATATTCTTCATTCAAACTTTCTGTTAGACTTCCTACTTTTGGTCTATGGAGACAATTTCCTTCATTGTCCTCATTTCTTTCCAGCTCTCACATCCTGATTTCATTAAGATTCTTCAGACTGTATTTTTGGCAATCATAAGGCCACTAAAAAGGACTTTACAAAAGGTATTAAAACTTTTGAAACCCTCAAGGCAGATGGGTCTCTCTTGAAACCTTGTGATTTATTCTGCAGAAGAAGCAGAATAAGCAAGCCCCTGGAGTACAAGCAGGGGTTAGTCACTGTAAGAGAAAACCAAATCCAAACAGTTCTTTTAATGAGCACAGGAGACTTAATGTATGTCTTCATTGTTTGAGATAACACACTTCCACTTCTGAGCAGATCACGTAGCTTTTACTGGCTCTTACTGAGAAGTAGTTCATTTTCTGGGCAGCGTTTATCAGAAAGGAAGTGAAGTAATGCTATATATTATATTTTATTTATGCATTAGATCTAATGATTTAATTTCAGGTGTAGCAGCCTAACAAGAGAAAGTATTCAAACATCTGACAATCTGTTACGGTAATCCCAATTCATAAATATCCAAAGCAGGAAAGGTCACTTTCAGAGCAACTTGGTAAGCTCATTACAAGCTGATACTTTAGAGATTTTTAAGGAAATACTCTCTCAACATACTGTCTGTATTGGATACATATCCAGTGGCAGAATCGGTACCTTTATAACCTGCACAGCCCAATAGATTGCATCTTTAAGGTAAGCTGTGAATATGTTTTGAAAGTGAAGCTGTATTCCAGAAATTTAGTTCTTCAGGTGCCTGGCTGATTGCTTCCATTCTTCCAGTAGGAATATATAGCATAAGAGAAAAATATTTTTGGTTTCTGGTAACATTTCCTAATTGAGTCCATGTCCAGTAGTGGCTGAATTTGATCGTTGTGGGAAACAAAGGAAAATCACTGATTGTAGGATTTGCCAGTAATCAATTAGACCAACAAGCCATATACATTCAGCTTCAGGAAATTATTTCTTCCAGACTCATGCCATCAGGTGACAGTTGCTTGAGACTTCATGGAGTAATACAGAGGTTATCTCTTAGCCCAGTGCTGATCAGTTTATATTCTGGAACTGGTTACTGATTACACTTCTAACTTAAAGGTAATGATGAAGTGTGTCATAAAATTACCCAGCTTTTAAAATTACATAGAGGAAATAGGTGACTGTGTCCTGTTGCAGTAACAACAGAGGGAAACATATCTTCAGATATCATAGATTCACAACTGAGGCTAACTTGTGACAATTGGCACAAGTTTGGTTGCTAGATCCCTATGGTAGATTTTCCTCTTAACTGGTCTTATTGATTCCTTGCTCCTGTGTAGCCGAACAGTGCATAACAGATGTTGCTTTGAGCAAAGAAACAATCTTTTCAACAATCATTGAAAAAATGCATGCGTATTTCCTAAAGCAGTCTGTGTTGGTTTCTGCAGGTTGGGAGCCTCAGAAGGCGTTTGGCTTCTCGTCCCTGTAGTCTCTCCATACTGTGTGGTAGAGTGGGAAACCTACCTCGTATGACGTAGCTGTACAGCTCTGCCAGACCACATTTCCCCTTGAAATCGTGATACAGAGGGCCTGAATCTCATGGCACAGCATTGATTTGCTCAGATGTTGAGCCCAGGAAAGGGTATCACCGATGTACACAGAGATGCAATATTTCCTGAGGTTCCTTGGGCCACAGGAGCTATTGGCCATCAGGCCAATTGCCACATTCACTACATAGTGAGCGTACGAAAATGACAGGTCTCATTTCCTAAGTCTCAGAAGATCTGCCTAAAAAAAATCAGGGAATCCTCCCTAAAGCAATGCCAGAACCAAAGTATCATTTAGAAATGATAATCTGACAAGTTTAGACTACGTAGAGTTTATTGAGTCGGACTTTGTACGAACATGTGCATTTGTCTGTGTACATATGTCTATGTAAGATTTCCAACAATTTTCGTTTTTCATTAGTCTTCAAATGCAAGATTCTCTCCCCCATCCCACTGGGGGAGGAGGGAGGTGAGTGAGCGGCTGTGAAGTGCTTAGTTGCTGGCTGGGGTTAAGTCACAACAGGGATATAGCATGGTTTTGCTCTTTGTAAAAACTGGTACTGCAAGCACGCTAGAATCTGAATGAATCAGACTACATTGCTACCTTTTGTCTTTCATCTTTCTGTTATGTACAGGAGAAATGGGGGACAAAGGACAGAAAGGCAGCATGGGGCGACATGGAAAAATTGGTCCTATTGGTTCAAAAGGTATGCTTAGTTATATGGTTTCTCCATTTGTATTTCAGATGAATAATCTGTGATTATTTATGTTTGAGAAAAGTTTAGGGGCTTGAAAAGGCTTAGAGTTTACCATAATAGGGAGTTTCTCACACTGTAGTCATCCAGATGACTGAGAACTCTCAGCCAGTTACCTTTCACTCTGGCAGCAATATATTTAGCCTTAAAGCTGGGTGAGAATCCTGGTCTAAGGCTAAATAAAGAATTTTGTGCACCGTCATGCAAGTGTGGACAGTTAAGAGAAGCAGATGGGAAGAGGCACTGTACTTTGGCAGACTTTTAAGAGCCAGAAGACTTCAGTTCTAATCTTGCCTACCTCATAGACTTCCCACGCGACTTTAAGTAATTTAATTATGAATTTAGATTGAGGCACCAGCGTAGCATATCCAACCCTTTTCCCTCTACAGCATCTGAACTTACTGGTTCTGGGAAGTTAATAAGTATCAAAAAATGGACATTGGTACATATTTTTGTGTTCAAGTTTCATAGGTTTGGCTGACTTTTGTTGTGGAATGACTCAGACACAAAAATCTCTATTTTTGCGTGGTCATAGTTCTACTTAAGACATTTGAAAGTTACTAGATAAAAAATAAAAAAGTGCTAAATGAACTGTTGAGCAAAAAATCTGCCTTAAATTTATATTCTTTTTCATGCCTTTAGGTGAAAAAGGAGATAATGGTGACATAGGACCACCAGGTCCTAATGGTGACCCAGGTAATCCATGAGAAATCTTGTGAATGTGAAGGATTTTATGAGATGCATGCGTCAGTACAAAAAAATATGTTTGTTTATATACTCGGGGAAATAATGGAAAATTAGAATAGTTTTATAGGCATTATAATATTTTACTGAATCTGCAGTAATTGCTGGACTTGTAGGGTATTTGTCAGAACAGTCTCTCAGGGCTCCTCAGAGATGTGATCACTCCAGAAGACTAGTGGGAACTGAAGGGCAACTGTCCGTATTGTTCCTCACCAGTGCAGAGGGACATCTCTGCATGTCCCACTCTGGCTTCCAGCCAACACAGAGGAGCAGGTTGGAACCTCCTGTCCATCCATGGATTATTGTTACAGGAGCAGGAGATTACCAGGAATACACATCTTCAGAGGAAAGGGTGAAAGCCTTACCAAAGTGGCAGACTCAGATTTTACCCAACTCATCCCATCCTGGTAGGATGCATTATAGAGGCACCTATTTCTTTTCTCATGAGGACATAATTTGTCACTCTGATTCTGGAGCCAGACTGCCATATACCTAGTCATCAAGCGCAGTTTGGCAGTATAAGTACCCTGTGCTTAGACTGACTTAGACACCTAGACTGATTAATTGGATAGTCAAAGGCAGATTTGAATAATTGCACACAGAACTGGAAACTGCATTTGATACTCATTTTGAGATTTGAGCTCATAGATGTAACAATTATCCTTTTAGTATTCTCATTCAGATGATCTCTGTCAAACCAGTATCAATTTGGGTTAATATATGGTTTTCTATTTTCTTATGTTATTGGAAGAAGTACCTTAAATTCTGTACTTTCGAAGGTACAGAACTACATTTTGCAGGTAATTATGTACATTACGTGGTTGGAACATTAGCCTTTTGGATCTGCTGTTCCTCATGAGGAACAGGCGAACAATGCGCTGTGCAGATTTTTGCTGTGGGAAAAAGTGCTCTTTGAAGAAGACTGAAGAGAATAATTTTACTCAAAATGGGAAATTTTGACAAATATTTTTAGTTTTTAAAAATCCCTATTCTTTTTGTAGGGAATATCTCTCTGTGTTCAGGTTACCACTAATCACGCAGAGCTGAAGCTTCATGGAAATGAAGCTGTTCTGGGTAGGCCCAGATACCCATGAGAACCATACGATGCTGCAGGGTAGCAAAGGCTCCAGGTTTCTGCCTGTTATTTGCAAGATAGCCCTCTCCAGGGCTGCCAGGCTGGGATGTTTTCCTAGAATTATTTAGATAATTACTGAAATTAGATAGCTTTTTGATTTGGGTGTATCTGTATCCTTTCACAGGCATCCCCTGTGAGTGCAGCCAGCTAAGGAAGGCTATTGGTGAAATGGATATCCAAGTCGCCCAGCTGACAACGGAACTAAAATTCATAAAAAATGGTAGGTTAATTTAAATATAAATATTTTCCTTTCTTGTTGCCTCATTTCAGCGGTGTAACCGCTCGTAGAGAGCGTCACCGTCCCACATCTGATTTGTGAAGCTATTTTGGGGTGTACAGTAAGTTGGTTTATAGAAATGCGAGTGCTCACTTTTCAGCACTGCCCTCCCCCGCAGCTGTTGCTGGTGTGCGTGAGACAGATAATAAGATATATCTGCTGGTGAAGGAGGAGAAAAGATACAAGGAAGCCCAGCTCTACTGCCACGGAAGAGGAGGGACGCTGGGCATGCCCAAGGATGAGACGGCCAACAATCTGATCGCCTCGTACATCAACCAAGCCGGGCTCACCAGAGTTTTCATTGGGATTAACGACCTTGAGAAAGAGGGAAATTTTGTGTATTCTGACCGATCGCCCATGCAGACCTTCAACAAATGGCGCAGTGGGGAGCCCAACAATGCTTATGACGAGGAGGACTGTGTGGAGATGGTGGCGTCTGGAGGGTGGAATGATGTTGCGTGTCATATTACCATGTATTTTGTGTGTGAATTTGACAAAGAAAATGTCTAAGCTTCTCTGCTCTTTCTTTATTTTAAGAAAAGTTTTTAAGCCGATTGTACAAGTTACCCCATGTTTATAGAGTACAAGTAATATTTTGCAAGTATGTGGCATCAGTGTTGTACAGCTGTAAATACAATTTAGGTATTTCAAATATCAGTATTTACCCTTCAGAAGGGAAGAGCAGTGATAAGACATAGCTTGTTTTTTCTGTAGGAAAATATATATATTTAGATAAAAATGTGGTTTGGGGCTAAATTCTGCCCTCATAACAGTTAACAAATGTGATTGCATGACTGTAAGGGAAGGCAGAATTTGGCTTCTAGTTGTTAGAATGATTATTTCTGAAGAAGTAGATTCCTGATATTCTTTTATCTTAGCAAAATGTGTAGTTATAAATGTTAATTGCTTGTAGTGCCACAGGAATATTTCAGCAACAAGGCAAATATTTTGTATACTCCAGTTAATAAGTACAAATATTACTGTAAGTTTTTTGGATGTGAAGGTGTTACAACTTTTTTTTTTTGAAAAACAGTCAAAGCAAACCAGCAAATCAGGAATCCTACCAATTTCGTAATGTTTCTTTATTAAACTCTTCACAGATGTGTGACAAGGAGGCACTTAAGTAAACTGAGTTGTAGTGCCGAGAGAGGACAAAGTTCTTATAATTTAGTACTGAAAGAGGGATCCCAGCCAGATGGGTGTTTTGGGGCTGGCTAAAGCTAAAAGTAAGATTTTGGTTTTCTGCATTCTTTAGTTGAGAATGACTCAGTGTATGAACTATTTCAGGCCCCAAATATTTTCTTAAATGCGTTTCACATTTGTATAAGATGATCTTGGGGCATCTTGTTACAAAATAAACAAAATACCAGCCCTCCACGATTTAAGACAGACTTCATAAATAGACAATGAAATCTCATAAAAATAGTTTATCTAGTAGTTCCTTTTGGTAGGAAAACAGATTACAGGTTTACTTAGATTTTAAGGATGACTCCCTGAAAAGCAGCAGAAGTATGCAAAATTTTCCTGATGATGTATATAGCAGTAATAATTAATATTGCACAAATAATTTATGTATCCAATTTATAATTGCATGTGATGGAAAATGTGATGTATATTTAAAAAAAACCCAACAACATAATTTCACACAGGAAATGATTAATTACTTTGGATCGTCCTAGGAGCCAGTTGCATGACATCTTGTACTGCTGTTTAGGCATAGAAAGATGACTGCAAAATCTTTGACTGTGCTTTTTCAAGACTACCTTGCATGGTGTTTTAAGATGATTTTTAATGAGAAATGATCCTTTGTATAACATAGTAATCAAAATACGTATCTGATCATTATGGGACATTTGTCTAACAGATATCCACAGTGGATGTGGCATGTGGTCCCAGAGATTTCCCTAAAGAACTTATATCAACTCTACAGTGCCATGGTATATAAACAATCAACTACCATACAATTCTGTTCATATCCACAGAGTCTGGCAATACTTGGTGCGATACTATTATTATATACCTGAGAAAACAAACCCTTTTGCATACTGTATTTACTATGTGAATTTCAGTCCATAACATATATGTATTTGCTATTAATTTTGAAGATCAGTAGCAAATTTCTGCAGTATTTCAATATCAGCCCAACTCCAGAGCAATCACTCTTAAGAAACGAACAATCCTTTGATTGCTTTACTTTCTAATAAAGGTAGGTATGATTCCTATATATTAGGCATTTTTCCAACAGCATACTGAAATCTATTAAATAATGTGAATGTGACTCTACGCTAATATTCAGAGACTCTTCACAGAATTTGCAGGGAGCTAACAATTTTTCCTGCCTGCTTTAGAAATCCTCAGAAAGCGCTTGAATCTCCTACATACTGTTGTCAAATCGTTGTAGCTATATTATAACAGTCCAAACCTGAGTCGCAGATATCTGGAGCTGCCTCATTACGTATGTACTGAACTGCTTATTTTTCACCCAGGTTTTGAAATTGTCTGTTGTAATGTTCGATTTCCTCAGAAACGTGAAAAGAGGCCTTTTGAGGAGCTGGGAAGATTTTTCAGATGCTTAAATGCTCCTATTTTAGCTGGAAGTCACACCATGTTTATAAAGATTGCCTTAATGTGTAGGGCATTTAAGTTGTCTCAATTTCTATTAAAATTTAAGATGAGAAATAAAGGCAATAAAAAAATGTTTATTTCCCCCAGTTTTCATGTTCTTCGGGATATATTTTTGCAGCTCTTGAAATATGAGATAGAAAGGAAATCAGTTGTATTGTCAGAGCCCTCTATATTGGCTGCAACAGTCCTTACTCCATTGTCTGGGCAAGGGGAACAAGGCTGTAATGTCCCTAGCTGTCCTGCAAGGAGAAAAGACTGTATGTGAGATTCACCCCTGGGAGGAACTGCCTATACCCAGATCTAGTTTTTATGGGAAACTCGGTAACATGTGATGCTGGTGGCTGACTGAAATCCTAGAGTAGAAAATTAGCCTACAATGCAAACACTGATTATATACAACTTTACCTGTTACACTTTTTGGACTGCTTCCCCTTAGCCTTTACTTTCAAGCATTCTGCTCATGTGTGCGTGACTTTTTCCAAACAGTCAATTTCTTTCCACTGGAGATTCTGGTTTTCAGTTTCTGGCTTGCCTTGTGGGGCCAGCAGGTCCACGTCACTCAACCTGTCTGCCACAGATTACGGACCAAGAGCTGGGGTTTCTGTCAACCAGAGGAGCTGGAAAGGCAACTGTGTCCATGAAACCACCTGTGATGTGAGAGGTATCGTACGGGACTGTCCCTGCCCATGGCAGGGGGGTTGGAACTAGATGATCTTTAAGGTCCCTTCCAACCCAAACCATTCTGTGATTGTCTGACTGGAGCCGGTCACTCGCCCATTCCCTGGGGAGCATACCTGGGTGGGGAGGGGCAGTCCAGCCTACTGAGAGAAGAACTGACCTTGTTATTGCAGGTAAAAAAAAAAAATCGTAGTCTTAAGATTTACTTAGGGGGAAAACTGTGCAGTGAAGGGTTTTGGCTATTTACAGAGGAGATGAGAGAAAGAAGAGTTTGTTTTTAATTTTGCTGTGTTAGAATACAAACTTTGTGAACTGGGAGAGAACGGGTTTGCGGAGAGGATGATAGCTGTGTGCCCAAGGTGTTTTTCTGGATACGTGTCTCCTCCAAGCCAGGAGCTTTTCCATTGGATGATGAGGGGAGCCCTCTCAAGAGGGAGAGCACGAAATGAAAAGGTGGGAGAAGCGGCGAGTGGATGTGCAGAACTGACAGCGAGTGGGATGCCCACGAGGCGGAATGTAAATGTTACCTCCAGCCATTCGCCTGCTTCCTTCTAGGGAAATATAATTATCCTGCCCTTTCCGTCAAAACGTCTCGCTATAGCTCTGGATGGGGAGCTACAAAAGGAGGGGGAGGTGGCCGATTTAGCGTGATGTTTGTGCCTAAATAAAGCCCAGTTTGGGTCTACAGCCAAATATAGCATCGTTGGGTATAGTAACGTCTCAAATCACTGGGGATATAATTAAGCGCTGCGATTCAAAGGCTGGCTATGTGGTATTGGTGCCTTTATGTATACTCTTTACATCGAATAGTGTGAATGCTGCCAAGAACTCGGCGATGGAAGGTCTGGTGTGCAGCAGAGCGGTACCTGCGTTACCAGACTGTCATCTAGTGGCAGTGAGAGGTAAAATGATGGGGCTGAGAAGTAGTTTGCTTCTGCTGGTACCAGTTACCCCGTTACTGAGTGTAACCACTGATGTGGTATTGAACAACCGATTTCCCAGCTCTGAAGTTTTTAGCTTTCTTCTTGTTGTGAAAAGACTATTTTGATTTATAAGAAAGGGATGTGCACTGATTTTTGAGTCCAATACAAATGCCCGGGTGGGAGTTTTGACTACCAAGTGAGAAGTGTGCCCAAATGAGTTCAATTATCATGCCTTGGGGTTAAGAAAAAGAAAACAAGTCAAGCTGTGCTCTGCAGGCCGGCATCTAAATTGCAGGTGCAGATCTTCACCTGGCATCAATCAACTTCAGTGAAGCCAAATTGATTTATACCTGCTGAGGATTTGGCACAATATCTTCATAAACTCTTAATTTATGCTTATTGCAGAAAGAAAGAGACAATTATTTTGATGTTTATAATTTATTCTGACCACTGTTATTCAAAGTCTGATCTGATGGATACATCTCTTATACAAATTTCTGGGTGACAATCAGTTGTGACGCAAATATTAAATGTAAAATAATCAAAATAGGTATATGTTGTAAAACTTTACCCTTGTACACAAGGGGTATGATGCAGAAGACGAAGAAGTAAAAGCATTCAAGAGAAAGAATAAGTTCTCTGTAATTATATATTCTTCTATGAAAATCAAACTTTGCTTTTTACTATACTCAACATTGATTCATTGGCGTAGATGGGTGCCATCTAGTGAAGGAAACATTTGTTACATATCTAAAGAGCCACAAATCCAAGGTTGTTCCTACTTTGTTTAATATGACTGGAATGATAAGGACAAACAAACATTTTGGAAGAGGGAAACAGAGCAATATGTTCAGTTCACTGTGTTTGTAGTACACACTGAGATAAAAGAAGGTATGAAAAAGCAAAATACTGACTTCATATTACAAAGTGCCCTGCACATCTACATATTGGCTTGTTTTATTTAATTCCATTACCTGCTTCTTCCGCAGCATTACTTGCCTTCTCCACTGTATCTATTCTTCCCTTCTTCTAAAAAAATCTAGTATCATAACTTACGACTTTCTTAGGTAAAGTTCAATATCTCTTCCAAATATCCCCGACTGGATTAGCAGAGAAGTTTATAGTCAGCCTTGATGTAGATAATTCCTTTTACATACTGACTTTTGGCTATGTCTTACTATTCAGAAGTTTCGTAAAGTGGAAGATAAGTTCAGGATCCCTTAGTCTTGCACTGCAAAAGCAAAAATGCATTATAGCTGATGTGATGACACCATGACTAACAGCGATAACATGTCTTTTTAAAAAAACACTCTTTGAGAGTA